TGGAGGTGAATGAGGTGAAGCCGGGACACCTGGAGGTGAATGAGGTGAAGCCGGGACACATGGAGGTGACTGGGAAGAAGGGGCCCCTCATGCTGGGAGCTTGGGATGCAGGCTGAGCAACCCTCTTCGGGCCAGGAGCAGTGGGCAGCTGATGATCTTCTGGGTTGTGTTGATGACTCTCTGAAACACTCTCCAGTTAATTAACTATGATATTGTCAACACAATTCTGCATGTATCTAGAAGTACTGATTTTCAAAAATGTTCCACTTTGTCCTTTCAAAAGCAATACTGCTGTTGCAGGGAATCTCCTTCAGGCCATGTATCAGCAGGCTTTGTAGTGGTTTGAGCTTTGCAAGCAGCTTCAGCATTACTGTTAAATGGTTGTGAGGCTTCCGTTTTTAGAGCAATGCCAAAGCTATTTGCAGTTGTGAAAATGGCTATACTGAATAGTTATAGATGTATATTTGCTAACATTAAAGGAAACTCTGATTGCCAGACGGAACTGAAGACGTAGGAACAATCATTTGGCAAACAAAGGAAGGTTTATTAATAAGGATCAAACGGATCTAGAAACAAATAAGGGCTGGAACAAAAAGTAAGATGAATGAGCAGTAGGTATGACTTGTTAGAGTATGGGGATCAGGCAGGGCAGGACATGAAGGTACCCTCCCCCCGAAAAGGGTGACCTCTAGAAATGAAAGACAAACCGGGAAGGATCTACACAATGGGGTGGACTGACAGGGTCAAGACGCTGGACTGGACACAGCAAGACAGGACAAAAGCCAGACAGAACGTAGATGAACAAAACCTCAAATAATGGCAGAGAACGACTCAAGACCAGGGGAACAGAGGACAAGACAAGACAGCCGTAGACTCACACCATGGCACAGCACAGACCTAAGACAATGAGATAGAATGCACGCCAGACTCAGACCAGGGACAACCCTAGGCAAGCTACAAGGAACCCCATGGGGACAAGGGACAATGGGACACACCAAGGACACCATGGGACAAGGGAGAGCAGCGGCCGCAGGCGAGCAGGCAGGGGCTGGAGGGTCATAGGTAGGTCAAAGGCTGTCAGCGAGCAGCGTGCGTTGCTATTTTAAGGCAGCGAATTGACATTGAACTTTTGAGCAACAAAAACCACATCTAAAGTTACTAGGGTATTATTAAATAATATTTAAGCGGCGTGTTTTGTAAATGTGTGGGTGGGGATGCTCGTCACCGACACAGGTACACGCTTGAGGAGAACCAATGGCTTTTTGTTATTGTATATTTACATATGTACATACTTATCCTTCCATTTTTGAGCAATCGACGCACATGGGTATTTAAACACACCACCAGGTTGATCGGCAAGCTTCCATCTCCCCCGTCCTCTGACATCATTATGTCAGCAAACAAGGACACGCTGCTACTGAACCTCATCCCACACCTGCTTCTGAACCTCATCCCACACCTGCTACTGAACCTCATCCCACACCTGCTTCTGAACCTCATCCCACACCTGCTTCACCTCGAAAGGCTTGGTGCAATAGTACTGCTATCTCACACCTTTTCACCTTGCACACGTGCACGTCCATTTCCTCAGTGGAAATGTGGTCTAGCTTGCCAGGCAAACACACCAATGTAACAGTACTCTGCAGCAGATCATGCGCTGCTGCCTTCTGAAGGTGACGTGATGTGCTATTCGGATCGGTTTACTGGATGTTACAGAGCATGGCTCTGAATAACTAAGAAATATAGGACAACTTTTTGTGCCTTTCTCTGGTGCAAAGTCTGTTTTTTTCTGTCGTCAAAATAGAGATTTGGAGAAGGCCACAAATGTTAGCTGTGCTTTGCGCTTTGCGTTAGATTGCCAAGTTCCAAGTTCAGAGGAAGAATTCAGAAAAGCAGGTGATACACATACAATCATCTAAAAGATCCATAGTGCTTACATAATCATCTTATGGAGAGCCTGCAAGAAAGAACAAGAAGAGCTCAAAGAGGGCCTTTGGGACACCTAGATCATCTGGAGGGTGTTTGTTAAGTGCTGAGCTGGATGAAACTATGGCTGGTTCCTTACCTTCAGAGAAAGGGCTGTGAGGAAGCCAGTGTCTGTGTGCCAACGTGGCCTTTTCCCATCCACAGTCCCAGGTCTCCATTAACGTGGAGGAGTACGAGGACACACGGGAGCCCCGGGAGCCGCTGCTCTGCCGCTCGGGCCCCTCCCACCGCAACTCCACCTCCTCCGAGCCTCTGGCCCCCCCCCCATCCTCGGTGCCCGATCACCCGCTCCTGCGACGGAAGAGCATGCAGTGGGCGCGACGGCTGAGCCGCAAAGGCGGGCGAGGCCCCGGGGGGGCCAAGGGCCCCGCAGGTGCCACCGAGCGCATCAACCAGCAGCGGCTGACGCTGTTCCGCCGCTCAGAGCGGCAGGAGCTGAACGCGCTGGTGCGAACGCGCATGAAGCACCTGGGCTTGTCTCCATCGGGATACAGTGAGTCTGCAAGCATGTATCTGTTTGTTTCCTTGTCTTTCTCCCTATACCTCAAATACAAAACTTGTTCCCCAGAAAACAAAGCGCTTTTTTTATGCTCATTATATCCCCTGCTTTTGTAAAAACAGAAGACATTTTTGTTCTGTTTGTCCAAAATGTCTCTTTTCTTTTGAGATTATTTCATAGTTTGTGGTTAGAGCTTCTTGCATTAAGATCAGACTGAAAAAGAAGTTTCCAAAAAGACAGGAGTTTAGGTGTTTACTGCCGAAATGTACGAGAAGATGTTTTTGGTATTGATGTTGATGATGTTGGTGATGTTGGTGATCACTTCCCAAACTGGGATGACTGGCCAAGTTTACAAACTTTTGACACTCCTCAGATCTGTCAGTCAGCATTGCTGTCCTGTGCATGGACCTTGTTATCCTGGACGATTCCACCTCCTTCAGGATAACCATGCTCACTTATAATGGACTCACATTAATTTCCATTTTACCTTTCCTTCTAATTGCTAAATGACTAAATGCACCTGGCCCATAATGGAGATTCCTTTTCTATGTGAAGTACTGTATGACTTCCTGTACGCTGGAGTCAAGCTCTGTGTTTCACCGTGTCCTATGTGCCTTTTTGCTGTCAGATGAGAAGACAGACCAGGGCAACACACTGTCCTACATCCTCATCAACCCCTCCCCTGACACCCGCCTGGAACTCAACGACGTTGTGTGAGTACAGAGAGTACAATGAGTACAGAGAGTACAATGAATACAGAGAGTGCAGTGAGTACAGAGAGTACAGTGAATACAGAGAGTGCAGTGAGTACAGAGAGTACAGTGAATACAGAGAGTGCTGTCAGTACAGAGAGTACAGTGAATACAGAGA